GGCATCCTAAAAGTACCTATCAGCTAAGGCTTTTACCACTACCCCCACAGTATAAAGTATCCTGGTTTTCCCTCAATAATCGAAGCTGGATCACTAAGGCCTGGAGCCGAGCTGAGTCACAGAATAAAGGAGCTGTACCCCTGACTGAGCTGAGTTCTGTGTCTTACTGCCTACGATCCAGCCTTCCCGGAGAGGGCTATCTCTTCGTAAACTACGACTCACGGAAATCCAGCTTTCGCCATTTCTCGCACCTCCCCTTGTGACCTGGTGGCCAACGGGTCCCGAACTTAGAGAGAGAGTGCACGGTGGATTGGGACGGAACCCAACCGGGCCAGCCCCGGTAGCAGAGAACCTCAACAACGCAGAGAAGCAGGGACCTGCCAGCGGCAGAGAGCCAGGGACCCAAACAGCAGACGTGGCCCGCGGGACCCGCCGCACTCCAGCGACGTGTGGGAGACCGGCGCCACGCCCAGCAGCTGGTGCTCCGCGAAACCTGCACGCCCATAACAGAGAAGGTAAATTTTGTGGGTGTTGGAAAACTTAGTTCTTGAAATTATTTAAAACCACACATCTACATGCCCCAGTTAGCAAACACCTTTCTTATAATCTTGAGAAGGAGTCTATATAAAATTTAGTCCAAGGCTAGTGAGACGGCTCAGTAGGTAAAGGTGCTTGCCGCTGAGCCTGGACGACCTGAATTTGATGAAATTCCACCAAGATGCACATGTGGAGGTCATAGAACAACTTGTGGCAGTCAGTTCTCTCCTACCAGGTAGGTCCCAGGGATGAATCTTGAGACATCAGGCTGGGCAGCAAGTGCTTTTATTCTGAGTCATCTCATTGGCCCAAGAATTCTTTTTTTTTTTTTTTTTTCGGTCTTTTTTGAGACAGGGTCTCTCTGTAGCCCAAGCTGTCCTGGAACTCACTATGTAGACCAGGCTGGCCTTGAACTCATAGAGATCCGCCTACCTCTGCCTCTGGAGTGCTGGGATTAAAGGTGTGCACCACCACACCCAGCTCCAAAAATTATTTCTTAAAAAATAATCTCCCTTTGTAGCCCAGGAATGTCTAGAACTTGTAATAATCCTGCCTCAGCCTCCTAAATGCTGGAATTATAGTCCTGCACCACCATGCCCAGCTAAGAAATATTTTTTATTTATTTTTATTTTATGTGTACGAGTGTTTTGTCTCCACGTATGTAAGTGTACCCATGTTGTGCGAAGCCCATGAAGTCCAGAAGAGGGCATTGGACCTCCTAGAATTGGGGTTATGGATGGTTGTTAGCCACCATGTGGGTACTGGGAATTGAACCTGGGTCCTCTGAAAGAGCAGCTAGTGCTCTTAATTGCTGAGCCATCTCTCCAGCCCCATCAAACCTGGATTCTTATGAAGTAAGCTCCTATGCTCTTGCTTTTGGTTTTCCTCCCTCTATTAGCTCTGAGAAATGCTTCAAGAAATAGATGTCAGATTCATTGTAAGGTTAAAAAGAATAGATTTATTTTCCATACTAATTCTTCATTGATTGGGTTTTATCAAATATCTAGTGCATCTACAAATATTAAAATATACTTCATGGGGGATTGGAGAGATGGCTCAGTGGTTAAGAGCACTGGCTGCTCTTGCAGAGGACCAGGGTTTGGTACCTAGCACCCACATGGCAGATAACAATCATCTGTAACTCCAGTTCCAAAGGATCTGATGCCATCTTCTGGCCTCTGCTGGCATTACACACACAAGTACTCTTACATGCAGGCAAAACACTCATACACATAAAAATAAATTTTTTTTAAAAATTGAATTAAAAAGGGTCTGGAGAGATGGCTCAGCAGTTAAGGGCACTGACCACTCTTGCAGAGGACCCAGGTTCAATTCCCAGCACCCATGTGGCAGCAAACAACTGTAACTCCAGTTCCAGGTGATCTGACACCCTCTTCTGACCTCCTTGGGCACTGCATGACACAGGTACACTTACACATATGCAGGCAATACACTCATACACATAAAATAGAAATAAATAAAAAATGTCTTTAAAAATTAAAATGTAAAATTAAAAAGTTCCTCCATGAAGCAGTGAAGCACTTTTCAGTTTCCCTCTCATTTTAAGAACTTTCTTGTGTACTCAATCTCTTCTGAAGGTTTTGGAATTCAGTATAATCCCATTAAATCCAGGAATACTTTTAAGAATCCAGACTGTCGGTGTCTTTACTTTAAACAGTGATTGGTCTAGATAAGAGCTGGTGGAACCTGGGAACTTGGAACTCAAGACCAGGAAATTCGAGATCACTTCTTGTCACCTCCTTGACTACTGGAGTGGTCACACATGTTGTGTATGGTCACACTCAGCCAGCTGAATCTTTTTATCCTGTTAAAGTTTGTTGTTTCTAAGAAAAACAAACTTTATTTGTATTTTGAACATGAATATTACTTTAACCTGGCCACTAATTCTATTCTTTCATAGTTAATTCAAAACAGAGCACAATTCTGGAGATTACTTCAGTACAAACAATTTATTCCTCAGGATTTCTTTCAAAGTAGAAAAACTTTCTTGATTTCTACACAGAAAATTGTGGTCTTCCTAGATTTCCAGCTCATGTTATCTTTAAATGTGGTCCAGGATCATCCCTAAGAAAAGGATGCAAAGCACTTCACCATAGTAGACCCTAGACTAGACGTTTGGGTATATAAATGAAAACAAGGTTCCTGTCCTTTAGGAATTAAAAATTTACTGTTAAGAGGTGGGCAGATAATTAAATATAACTCATAGTTTAATAACTCATAGTACAGCTGTGCTTTACATATATGACAGCAAAATTGTGTGCAGCATGTGACAGAATCACAGAGAGGATTGGCTCTTGTGGGATGAAGAAGGATAAGGATTGAGAAGCCTTCATAGAAACCGTCATTTCTGAAATAAGGTTTGAGGGTAAGAGTACATCCCACAGTGACACATGGAAAGGATGTTCTAGGCAGTGAGACAGCTGGAAAAAAAAAGGGAGTGGGCAAGGAGAGGAAATGACCAGGAGATTGGTGTTGCCACAGCAGAGTACTCCAGTGACATGATGAGGGCTGGAGAAGCAGGTGGGTCCAAAATGCAAAGGCCCTAGGTGCCAGCCTGGGCTAGACTGTTTTTCTAGCCACACACCTACAGAAGGCTTTCATGCCCCTCTTTTAGCCATTTGACAGGGTGGGCTCTATCCACTGACTCTGTCTTTAGAATTGAGCTAATGCTTGTCTACTGGGTCCTTTATTTCTTCCTGGTCTTCTGATGCCCCTACCCTACAAAAATCCAGGTGTCCATCCACCTCAGGTTTCAAGACTCTGCAAATGATTAGGCTTTGGAGGCAACTGATCTTCAGAAAGATTTTATTTTCTCCCCCTGACACTACACACTACAACCAAATAATACTGATGCTTTGGACTTGGGTCAGCTGGATCTGCTCTTCTCAAGGGAGGAGAACCAAATTGTTCAGTATTTTTGCTGTGGGTTTAGTTTGCTCTTTTTTTTTTTTGGTCTTTTTGAGACAGGGTGTCCCTGTAGCCCCAGCTGGTCTGGAATTTGCTCTGTAGACCAGGCTAGCCTCGAGCTCACAGAGATTCGCCTGCCTCTGCCTCCCGAGTACTGGGATTAAAGACATGCACCACCATGCCGGGCCTAGTTTGCTTGTTTAAAAAAATTACATTTATTTTGTGTGTGTGTGTGTGTGTGTGTGTGTGTGTGTGTGTATGTAGGTCAGAGGACATGTGTAATGTAAAAATTACATTTATTTTGCGTGTGTGTATAGGTCAGAGGACATCTTTCAGGAGTCAGGTCTCTGTTTCTAGAATGTAGGTCCCAGGGATTGAACTCTGGTCATCAGATTCAATGCCTTTTAACTTTTAACCCACTGAGCCACTTCACCATCTCACCATCCCCCCCCCCCCTTTTTTAAAGACAGGGTCTGATGTAGCCAAAGCTGGCCTCAAACTCGCTATGCAGTCAAGGATAACCTTAAACTCTTTTTTTTTTTTTACATTGTATTTATTTGTGTGTGTGTGTGTGCACGTGTACATGTTTGGGTGTGCACATACCATAGCACACTTGTAGGAGTCAGAGGACAGCTTGCTGGAGTTTGTTCTCTCCTTCCACCCTGTGGGTACAAGGATGGAACTTGGGTCGTCAGACTTGGCAGCAAACACTTTTACCAGGTGAGTCATCTTGCTGGCCTGACCTTGAATTGATCCTCCTGCCTCCATCTCCCCAGTGCTGGGATTACAGGCAGGCACCACCACACCTGGTTGGTTTATGCAACGCTGGGATCAAACCCAAGCTTCACGCATGCTAGGCAAGCACTCTACCCCCAGTTACATACCCAGCTCAAACCCAGAGGTCCCAACATAGAACTGGAGCTAAAGGAAGGTTTCATTTCCGGAATGGAATTGTTCTGGTTCAAGTCAGACAGCATAATTTTGTATGTTCTTTCTTCTGTGAAAGATAGAGCCTATTAATCCTTCAACTATGGTGGAGATCAGAGAGTAAGGGGTGTTGCATGTGTGTGTGTGGTTGTTTTGTGATAATGAGGGTTGGTGTTCAAGTTGTGGAATCTTCTAGTCAGAATTGGAAACTTCAGGGCTATGTATGCTGACAGCCCACCTGGGCTAGTCTGGAAGACACCCCCAGCCAAAGGACAAGGATTTCCTCCTGTCAGTGAACCTCATGTCTTTTTCTTTGAAAAATTCAAGCTGAAAAAAGATGCTGATTTCTGGTGCCTGTACATTGTTTTTCCTTTTCACTTCTCTTCCTCCCTCCCTTCCTCCCTTCCGTTTGTTTTAATTGCGGCAGGGTCTCAGGCCAGGCTAGCCTCAAACTCACTATGTAGCCGAGTACAGCCTGTAACTCTTGATCCTCAGTCCCTGTTGCCTGGAGTCCAGGGATTACAGGCGTGAGCCCTCATGCTGGTCTATACCGTTTTTCTAATACCGCGCAGATGAGGACAGTTGAAAGCCCTGCACGTCGAAGACCTTCAGCCCCGCAAACCCCACTGCCGAGGACCCAGTAAGCGCCAGGCATTTTGCATACAAATTGATATTCTGTTGTACAAATCTAGAAGCGTGGGAAGGTTTAACGTGTCCTCGGCTCCCAGACCAAGCCTTTATCACTTTAGGTTTGCCAAGATTCCAAGAACACATGCCAGCATTTCTTCTCCAGCTCCGTTCCTCCGGGGCTCCGGGAAAGGAGCCGCAGGCTGGGACCCAGCCTCCCCTGCAGGACCGGGCTCTTCCGGCCCTGTGGGCGGGGTTTGGGTGTGGGCGTGGCCCAGATGCCGGCGCCTTCTCAGAGCCCTCCGGGATGTGGGCGGGTCCACGGCCGGAAGTGCCCGCGTGGGCGGGGACGAACCGGACTTAGAATCCCTGACGCTGTGTCCCGGGCCGGAGGGAAGTGGGTGCTGCGCTCGGGAACTCCTTAGCCGCCGCGAACTCGCGCCGCCGCCCTCGACGATGGTGCTCCGCCTGCATCGTCTGCTGCTGCTGCTGCGCGCTCGACCCTGCGGCCCTGCGCCGTTCCCTGGAGCCCCGGGTCGGCCCTTGAGCTCCGGGCCCGGGGAGTACCTGCAGCACAGCATCGTGCCCACCATGCACTACCAGGACAGCCTGCCCAGGTGAGCCCTCCTCCCGGTCCTGACTGCCAGCCACAGAACCCGCTTTCCCCGGAACCCCTCTTGGAGCAGTTGAAGTCCAGCGGCTTTGAGAATCCTTGGCACAGGAACCTCGGAACCCTTCTCTAGAGTCCTCGTGTGCAGATTCGTCCCGAATCCCTCGCGGACTCCCACCTCTTTTAATCCTACTTTCAGTCAGATATCCCGAGCCCCTCACTTCTGTCTGAAAAAACGTTCTTGCATACCAACAGCACCGCCCTAATCCTCCCAACTGGTGTGTCCCCAGGGGTTCTTGAATGACTGTCCCTACGGGCAGCCAGTTCCTGGCACTGTAGTTACCCTTGGGCCAACCCGCCAGGATTCCATCTTCACCCATTACTCGGAACCCTCAGCCCCTTCCTCCAGCACCCTGCTCTGTTACTACCCCCATCACTTGCAGAAAGCACACCCAGTTTAGCACTCCCTATCCTAACTAAGACCACTCTTGCCCCACTTTTCATCCCCATCAAGCATTCCTGAGCACCCCCCCTTCCGATATTCCCCCTAAAATATCTTCTCACCCCCATTCTCCCTGCACCTTCAGCCCACCATCACAGAACTCCAGACACCATCCTCAGTACCCCTCCTAAACTGAATCTTATTCAAATTAGACCCGGGACCTTCTCAAATTCTGTTACTCTTTGGCAATACACCTTACCCAGAATCCACCTGTCCTATCAAAACAATCCTAGTAAGTCTTCCCTCCTCCTCCCTTGCCAGTACTTCTAAACGGGGCTTCCCGTTTTTCTGTTTGATCTCCCAGCCTTGATATGGTTGCCAGATCAACTCCAATCATAGAAATTACCTTCACTGTAAGCCAAACCTAAATTGTCTAAACTCACTACTTACTTGCCAAACTCAAGCTCCAAATTTGTCTCACCGTCTTCTGGCCCAGCTGCCAGGGATCCTGCAGTCCAGGAGCTGGACGAATCCCATCCAGGAAAAAGACAAACTAGTTTCAAAGCATTGTTCCCAACCTCAGGGTTTCTGTTTTTCTCCACATCAGCAGTTACTTAACCCAGGATCGTCTGTCCACCCTGCCTTCTCCACAAGATCATCCAGTGTGCAAACATAATACCAACTAAGATGAGATTATCCAACCTTGGCAGGAGAAAAGGGGAAAGAAAGAGGGTCTTTGTGCCTGTGAGATGAGCGTTCAATCTGTCCTAGTCTGACAGTCTGTGAGCTGTACCAATATGTAGGGGAAAGGTGAGGACTGTCTTCACTTGCTGAGTCAGATGGTTACTCTGACTTTCAGGCAGGCCCAAGCCCCACCCAGGTTTAAGATCAAATGGACTTTCCGAATTTCTGAATTGGAAAGCTGTTAGGAATATTCAAGGTCCTTTAGTCCCATCCACAGCACAAACATCTGTAGGTTCCTGGAAATTAAAACAGTATACTACTGGTCACCCATCAAAGTGGCCAACTTCCCTGTGCATCATCTATAAGTGGGAGTCAGAGGAGAGATGAAACCCTCTCAGGCCCAGCAATTCTGGTCTAGTAAATTATAGTCTCTTTGACAGTCATGTTGGTGTCACACTTGGCAAGAAGCCCTGACCTTGAGGTCTGGTAGAACTTAGTTTCAGGTTCTCTATCTGCCTCTCTGGCTATAATATTTTGTAATTAAGTCCTGGAACTATTGTCACCTGTGAGGTGAATGGCACTGTTCTTTGGACTGTGGGGAGGGTGCTGAGAAATGGTGGCAGGGACGGGTGGATCAGTCCTCCCTATGTGGTTCCTTTTATCATGGCTTCCTTTTAAAAAGCCAGGTTTGTTTTGAACTCTTTCTTTTAGGAGTGCTTGCACTATCATTTCCTTTTTAAATTTTTAAAAATTATTTTATGTGTATGAGTGTATTGCCTGCATTTATGTAAGTGCACCCATGTCATACAAGGCCTGTGGAGATCAGAAGAGGGCATCAGATCCCCTGGAACTGGGGTTAACAACAGATGTGGGTCCTCTGCTTTAGCAGTCAGTGCTCTTAATTACTGAGCCATCTCTCCAGCCCCATTTGCTTGTTTATTACGTGCTGTGTCTTTTGTTTGTTTGTTTGGTTCTTGTGTATATTAAGATGAATACAACTGGGCTGGAGAGGTGGCTCAGTGATTAAGAGCACATAATGCTCTTGTGGAGGACTCAAGTTCAGTTCCCAGCATGCTCATGGCTCCCTGTAACTTCAGCTCCAGTGGGCTCCAACACTGTCTTCACACACCCCCCCGGCATACAAATAATTCAAAATAAAAATAAATCTTAAAGATGTATATATAACATAATTTTTTTACTATTTTTGGTGTATAGTTCAATCTAGTTTTAATATTTTATTTATTATTTTTTATTTTATGTGTACGTGTGTATTGCCTGCATGTAGGTAAGTGTACCCGTGTCATGCAATGCCCTTAAAGGACAGAAGAGGCTGTCAGATCCCCTGGAACCAGAGTTACGGATAGTTGTTAGCTGTCATATGGGTGCTGAGATTTGAACCTGGGTCTTCTGCAAGAATAGCCAGTGTTCTTAACCACTGAGCCATCTCCAGCCCAATCTGGTGTTATTTTAAGGAATAGATTTATATAACTTCAGACTGTAATTCTGCAAATCCTGAGGAGGTGAGGCATGGATTCCCTGCCCCCATTCACTCTGCTGATTGATGTGGGCTTAGAGATGCATCGTTTTTGGAGAGATGTTTACCAAACAGTGGAGTAGTTTTGATGGGTAGCAGAGAGTTATGACATAATGTGGTAAGTGGCAAACAGTGGCTTATGATGGTTAAGGAGTTAGACCTAATTTTGTTTTTGTTTTTTGAGACAGAGTCTCCCTGTAGCTCCAGCTGGCCTGGAAATCATTATGTAGACCAGGCTGGCCTCAATCTTATGAGATCTGCCTGCCTCTGCCTTCCAAGTGCTGGGACCTAAATTTGAATTACAGTTGTGCTTCCTAGATGGATGGCCAGGAGCAAGTCATCTTACCTCTCAAATGGGAATGTTAATATTACCTTCCTCTCAGGGTAATTAGAATTAAATACTGTGATATAGAGTACTTAGTGCAGAGTCTGATAACCGAGTTCCCACTCAGTAGATACAAGTGCTATGACTGGTAAACATGTGTTGCATGTCTAGAAGGTGCTACACAAGAACCATTGTACTATGTGAGTGACTGAGTGGGTAAGTGAGGAAAGCTTCGAAGAAAGGCGATACTGAGCTGGAACTTGACATTTACCAGGGGAGAGGAAGAACAAGAGCAGCACACACTGAGGAAAAGGTGCTGGAAACACACATTGCAAGGAGAAGTGTTGAGAGGGTTCAGGTAGCTTCAGCCCAGAGCATGACTGTCTAGGCCTGAAGGTTCTGGAATTGGCCTGGGGTGTATAGAGGGAAGAGGGCAGTGCAGGGAGTCATGTTAGTCTATAAGTGATCCACAATAAATGCCAATTATCTTGTTTTTCTTTTAATCCCTAATCACTTTTAGTGATAACTGGTCATCCAAACATAATCTGCAGTTTCTCTAAAACTCCATGTGTGGGAGGCAGGAAAGGCCAAGTTGACAGGGTGAGGGGGATGACAGAAACAGTAGCAGTGTGTGGGCCCAAAGGCATGTCTTTCAGGCCAATCATCTTGACTTCCAGAATAATTTTATTCCTAAAGGACTCTGTGAACACTATCCCAATCATAACCAGAAGGCTTTTTAGCTGAGTTCTCAAAGGAAGTGCACCCAAGTGCTGCGGGGAGGCAGGCTGAGTATGAGAGCAGCCTGCCTTGGGTAGCTTCACAGGAGGGAAATTGGCTTTTCAGAGGAGTAAATGCTGATTAGATGGGGAGGGGCGTGTGGAGAAGGAGAACCCATCTAAGTAGTTGAAATGGATCGAAGTGCTGAAGACATGGCTCCGTGGTTAAGAGCACTGGCTGCTTTTGCAAAGGACCTAGTTTCAATCCCAGCTCCCACATGGTAGCTAACAACCATCTATAACTCCAGTTTCAGGGGATTCAGCACCGTCTTCTGTCCTCTGTGGGCATTGCATGTCATGGGTGTGTTGTGTCCAGTTTGCAAGACCCCAAAGACCACCAAGGAGCCGACCGATGCAAACACACACGGGTTTTTTTATTGTTACAAGCTTAAGCTTGGGCCCACTCTGTCACCGACCCAGCAGATCTCAGATGTGAGACCCCTTGCTTTGGGAGACAGAGGTTTTTATAGGTTTATTTCAGCAAGTTTAGCGAGTAGGGGGTCTCCAGCCTGGCAAGCATCTGATTGGTTGCAGCCCAGTGCCAAACCATAACCTGCTGGCTTCAGGAAGCCTGAAAAGACATCTGGACTTTTAGTACTTTCCTGTCCCCGGTTAATTGACCGTTGGTGGGGGAATTGTTCTCTATCCGTTCCAAGTATACTTTGTGTGTGTGTGTGTGTGTGGCTTTTCCTGGAACAGGGCCCAGGGCTGGGTCAGTCCCATGGAGGTTTTATCCAAGATGGAGTCACTCAGGTCTCTCATTCCCCCTCTGACTAGTACCTTGGGGACCCAATCATGGGCGCTCCGTCATCTCATGTTCTTCATCACCCAGACTCTGGAGGGACTGATAGTGGGTTCGCATTACCATTAGCTGTATAGCTCCCAGCCGCTCTTTTATAAAAGCTACCAATTTATTTAAAATGCAAGGTCCAAAAGTCAAGAGCATAATCAGAATGAGGAGGGGTCCGAGTAAGGTTATAATCAAAGTGGTCAACCAAGGGGAGCTATTGAACCAGGATTCAAACCATCCTTGTTTAGACCTGTATTCATTCTCTCTTCAAGCCAGACTTTCTCTAACCTTGGCCAGGGATTCTTTGACGACCTCAGAGTGATCTACATAAAAACAACACTCTTCCTTAAGGGCAGCACAGAGGCCTCCCTGCTGCAAGAACAACAGGTCTAGGCCTCTCCTATTCTGCAGAACCATTTCTGCCAAGGAGGTTAGGGATAATGGGAGGGGGCATTC